TTTGTATTTCTAGAGCTTGCCTTAGTGGTTCTCAAAGTGTAGTCCCTGGACCAACAGCAACAACATCACCTGGGAAATTGTCTTGAAATGCAAATTCCCAAGCCCAACTCCATCCCTACTCAGTCAGAAATTGGGAATGGAACTCAGTAATCTGGTTGGTGTTCTGATACATGCTAAATCTCTTAATGTGATTAATAGATTTTCTACCTTTTAAAATGGAAATTTTCATGCAGAGATGTTAAAAGCATAGTATAAATGAATTTAGCAGTTGTAAACATTTTGCTTCATACTACCTTTTTTCCTCATGAACCATTTCAGTCAGTTGTAGACATGATACATCATTCTGAATATTTTAGCATTCCCTCTGAGTTGCCAATTACATCCAAGAAAATTAACAGTAATTTCCAAATATTATCATGTTTTCCCAATTATCCCCTCGTCTTTTATAGCTTAAAAAAAAAAAAATCCAGAGTTCACAAACCATTGCATTTTATTGCATTATATCTTCAGACTTACCGGAGTCTCCTCACCCCTTTTCCTTCTTTTCACCCCTCCCTCCATTCCCAGAATACTGAATCTTGTACAGTCTTGTCTTGTACTTTTGAATTCTTGTTGTCTTACTGTCTTCTGGAGCTGTCTGATTATTTAGTTGGGTCAGTTAATTTAACATGTTTCAAGTTAGATTTCATAGGCTGTTAAATCTGTGGAAGAGCCTCAAGGCGCAAGGAGTCCGCGAACTCCTTGAGAGTTTATGGAAATAGTCTGTGTTTCTTTGCATATGTGTTTTACTGAAAGAAGAGTAGCTAAAAGTACTCACAATTTTGGATTATAACTGGAGTGTGTATGTGTGACAGAGAAGTGATTAGTTTGGCTGCATTTTAGCCATATCTAATTTATAAAATTACTCATTGCTATGAACGTACAAATATTTATGAATTGTCAACTATACCATTGTCACTATAAACTAATAAATCAGTTCATCTCTAAACAGTCTGAGTGATTAATTGGCACAAGGTGTTTTCCTGCTTTAGAAAATCCTGGGGGCACCTGGGTGGCCCAGTCAGTTGAGCGTCTGTCTGGCTCTTGGTTTCAGCTCAGGTTAGGATCTCATGGGTCGTGGGATCGAGCCCCGTGTCGGGCTCCACGCTCAGTGGGGGGTCTACTTGAGATTCTCTCTCTCCCCCTCCCCCCACTCAGGAGTTTGCTCTCTCTCTCAGATAAATCTTTTTTTTTTTTTTTTTAAGATTTTATTTATTTATTTGACAGAGAGAGACACAGTGAGAGAGGGAACACAAGCAGGGGGAGTGGGAGAAGGAGAAGCAGGCTTCCCCCTGAGCAGGGAGCCCGATGTGGGGCTCGATCCCAGGACCCTGGGATCATGACCTGAGCCGAAGGCAGACGCTTAACGACTGAGCCACCCAGGCGCCCCATCTCTCAGATAAATCTTTAAAAAAAAAAAATCCTGAATGCTTCCTGCGTAAGTGTCTAGATACTGGAGTCTCATTTAATTGAAATATGGGCAGACATTGGGAAAAGGTTATTTACAGTGAGTACTTTAATCTTCAACTGGTATGCCATATTCACAATTTTGTTTAGATATGCCAGTTAAGTCTATGTTAGTGATTATATCTTTGGATTGAAAATATGGGTTTAGATGAATGATTTGATTGGTTGTCTTTATTTGCATTACTCAGTTTTGTTGCACAAATGTTTTTATCGAGTATACCTGAGTAGTAAATACTGTGCGCTATATGAATAGAATATGATCCAAATTAATACTTGCCTATCTTTTTTATTTATGTCAACTGAGCAACCTAGCGTCTAGATTACTGTGCTGGTAATATGAACATAAGCACAGAGGAAATAGCCTTAAATGGATGTAGGGATTTGCAAAGGTCGTTTTGTTTTGTTTTAGATTTATTTACTTACTTTAGAGAGCGTGCACGGTTGGCAGGGGCAGGGGCAGAGGGAGAGGGAAAGAGAAACTGAAGCAGATTCCACGCTGAGTGCGGAGCCCCTCGCAGGGCTCAGTCTCACGACCCTGAGATCTGGACCTGAAGCCAGAACTCAGAGTCAGGCACTTAACCGACTGTGCCACTCGGGCACCCCTCACGAGGGTTTTTAACAAGGAGTGACACTGAAGCAAACTGGACCTTGAAAGATAATTAGGAATTCACAAAAGTGAGAGAAAATATATTTCATAAAATATTTTTATTAAACTTTTAATGCCCCTTTCTGACCTGCAGGTGACGAAGGGAGTATGCCAGCAGATATAGCCACGTTACTAAAAACGTCAATGGGCCTGTGAAATTAAGAATTGTGAATTCCTAATTGATGAGGAAATATCAACTTGGTGCACTCAAGGACATTTACATTATGATGACCATGGGGTTTATGAACATTTATAACTTTTTATAATTTCCATATTACATTTCTCATAGTATGGACAACTTTTTTGCCACTAACTGAATTCTCCAGATGCTCACATGTGAAATTTAAAAAAAAAAAAAACAAAAAAACCCACAAATAATGTAGTCCTGAAGATGTTGAATAATCATTTTACAAAACAGTTTTCTGAATGGGGATTAGTTGGTGATTGTTTGTAACAAATATGCTAATGCTTTAGAAATGTCAGTATTTTTGTAATTATTTCTACCTCCAAATATATATATATTGTCTTTCACTGGATAATGTGTGTAGATTTTTACATGTGCCTTATTTGACAATGCTTACGTCTTGTTTTTCCTTGTCTCATTTGAAGTTCTTTTTTTGTTAGTTTAAAGGATGCAGCTGTATAGATTATATAGCTTTCATTTTATTGCTATTTGAAGCAGATGTTCACCACTGTCAACAAGAACTCAACCTGAATTTAAAGGTGGCATTCCATTTACTAACACCCCCAGGTCCTTCCAAGTACTTCTGTTAAAACAAATTTGTTTGGCTAGGCACTAAGTTGTTTTCCAGTGAATAGTAACGAAGAAGCCCTTCTCTTCCTCCATGGATTAATTCCTTCTGTTCATTTCCCCACTGCACTAATTGTGCTTATTACTCTGCCTATTCTTGTGCATGTTTTCATTGATTTCCCTCTCCTGGCTTTTGCTTCTCTTGAAACTGTTGCCCAGTCACTTCTGCTCCAGTTCTGTTTACTCTCTAAATAGTAGTTTATTCCTGCCACGTCTCCACGTATCAGCAAAATGTGGGTAACATTTGTCTAACCTGGCAGAACAGATTAACAGGCTATTTCACTTCAAAGCAGACTGAATGTGACTTCATATTAAGGCAGCGTTAGGTACTGCATGGAAATAGGTCATTAACTTTAAACACTTCTCAAGATATAATTTATCAGTTTCCAGAATTTCCAGTACAGGACCTCCTGAAGAGAGAGCCATTGTTCAATTCCAATTCAGTGTGGGTGACAAAGTGAAATTTAGAAGAAGTAAAGTTGTCTATTTGATATTTAACTCTTTATTAAATCTTTCTTTAAATTTTTGCCTGTCAGTCTATCTTGCTGTTTTTATTATACATCAGTTTCTTTGTATAACTTGTGAGTTTCATGTGTTTTGTTTTTATTATGTAAATATCATTATAAATAAACTTATTTATAAATCACAGACTTGTTAATTTTGGAGATTGTACTTTCAAGGCATCCTGACTTGCTAAGATGCTTAGGTCATATAATCCTCTGGAGTTAGAAGAGTAATGAAGCTCTCAAAGCAATCTTCAGATATTACAGACTCTGAAAACTCATGATTCAGTAGATTTACCCAATCTTGAAGGTATATTAAATATAATCGATATATTTTAGTATAATGGGGCTAGAAGGAATCTACAAATACTATTACTACCTCTTCCTACATCGCAGGACCCAAATCACTTAGATTGTTGGAAATACTACCTTTCAAAATCTCATAATGGATTTCTTAATAACTTTTCTGTGGTAATGTGTCTTCAGTGATAGGCTGTTTCTTTTGTTGTTATTAAGTCCATATTTAATAAGATGTAGTTGAGTTCTCCCTGTCATGCTCTATTATGTCTTAGGCTTAATAAAAATATTTGTGATCATAAGTTGTATTTTCACACCCTTTTTAATAGTTTCTAACTCTCCCTTTACCTTTAAAATGAGATCATTTGTGCTTAAATATTATCTATTTCTCAGTAAACTGGAATTTATTACTTAGGATATATTCCCCCCGTTAGTCCTTTCATTGGACTGATGTTCATAGGAACATCGTAATCTATTACCAATAGTAAAGAGCATGTGAAGCCATAGTTGGAATATCATCTTGACCAATTGAAGCAACTTTTATTTTTTAATGCAACTTACAAGGTAGAAGACATATGCCGTATGTGTTTCATAACTGTATTCCTGACCCCATAGACTTGTAACTTTATACCAACAGATACTTATATTGCAACATTAACTACTGTTGTTTCTAACTTTGGTGTTACTGTATAGAGGTTGGACAGGAGTATTAGGAGATTTGGGTGACCCTAAGCAAGACACTTAAAATGTCCATAAAATTAAGGAACTGATTCTTTTAACTCTTTTCTTCCCAGAATGTGTGTTTTCTGGTTACAATCTGCAATTCTGATTCATTCATATTCTCTCATACTTGCTCACTCAGCAAGGAGCCATTTATTTTGGGTACAGGGTGGGATAACGGAATGTGTTGTCCCTTCAGTGAGAAAAGACCTAAAGATTGATGATGATGCTATGATTGAAATGAAATAATTTCTTTATGAAACCTGCTGTGGTTGCATTTTATATTTGAATTACGATTTGTGTAAACAAGTGGGACTGATGTTACTGTGAATTTTCATAATGTTAGATAAGCATTGTTCTCACTTTTACTAAATTCTATTTTCATTAAAGCTTGTCAGAATTTAATTTTATGGCAGAAAATGAACATACATAAGAGGGAAAAAAGTTACTACTTTCATTGTCTAGTATTATTTGAATTTCTGTTGTGAAAGGTAATTTCTTAAATTGCCTTAATAACATGATACAATACTTTGCAATGAGATTCACTTATATAACCTGTTATCATTTATTAACAGCGACTAGCGATAAGAAATTGTGATCCAAAGAAGCAAGTCATTTGGGAAATATACTTTGTTTTTATGTATAATCCTTAATGATGTATCAAGTATTTAACATCTTTTCTCCTATTTTGTAGAACACTGTTGGGATGAAAGAAGCACCTTAAACAAAATCATACTTAGCCCAGCTTTCCTTTTCTTTTTCTTTCTTCCCTTACATCCTCTCCCCATTTCTGGCTTCTCAGCCATGTTCTCTTTCCTCTGTCCTGCATTTCAAGTATATGCCATCTGTTTGATTAGTCTCTTTCTGTATATAACATGACATGCTAAGAATAGACAATCCAATATTAATATTAACATGCAAATTGAACTAAAATATATTCCAGTGCTATAGTTATGGTTTAAAATGTGTTGAGGGATAACCTATAGTTACTTGGAAGATTTCTATTTAAATCATTTGTTTATATGGGCAGTTCTTGCTTTCCACAGTAGTGTGGGACCATAAAAATGACTGCAGGTTGAAATTGTGCAAAATAATCTTAGTCAATGAAGAAAATGTTCTATGACTTCTAAATTTTTTTCTCAACACATTAAAAACGTTGGTTATAAATGTGTATGTAAATAAAGTAGTAAAACTAATTTTAGTAGTAAAAAACTGGAAAAGTGTATTACTTTGGTAAAAAATGTATTAAGAATAGTTTTAATAATACCTTCATATATAATTGCAAGTGAGCCATTCTTTTTATACCTTGGCAAATTATCATAATTTTAAGTTTGGATCACCTTCCCACATTTTATTGCATTTCCAGTGTCATGAAATATCCCTGCTTTTTTCTTTTTTAATAGACTTTATTTTTAAGAGACTTTATTTTTAAGAGGAGTTTTAGGTTCACAGCAAAATTGAGCAGAAAGTAAAGAATTCCCATATACCCCTGCCACCACACAAGTACACCCTCCCCCACTATCAACACCCCCATTCCAGAGTGGTACATTTGTTACAATCAGTGAATCTGCATTGACACATCATAATCACCCAGTCTATAGTTTGCATTAGGGTTTGCTCTTTGTCTTGTACATTCTGTGGGTTTAACAAATCCATTATAGTATACAGAATAGTTTTACTGCCTAAAAATTCTCTATACTCAACCTGTTCAACCCTCCCTCCCCCTTCGCCTCTCACAACCACTGGTCTTCTTACTGTCTCCATAGTTTTGCCTTTTCCAGAATGTTCTATAGCTGAAATCATACAGTTTATAGCCTTTTCAGATTGGCTTCTTTCACTTAGTAATCTGCACTAGAGTTTCCTCCCTGTCTTTTCATGGCTTGATAGCTCATTTCTTTTTAGTGCTAATATTCCCTTGTTTGGATGTACTATGGTTTGCTTAACCACTCACTGTAGAAGGGCATCTTGGTTGCTTCCAAGTTTTGGCAATTACCAGTAAAGTTGCCACAAACATCCATGTGCAGGTTTTTGTGTGGATCTAAGTTCTCAACTCCTTTGGGTAAGTACCAAAGAGCATAATGGCTGGATCATATGGTAAGAGTGGGTTTAGTTTTGTAAGAAACTGCGACACTCTCTCCCAAGTCTTTATCATCTCCCATTCCTATCAGCAGTAAATAAAAGTTAATTTTGTTTCACATCCTTACCAGCATTTGGTGGTGTCAGTGTTTTGAAATTTTGCTATTCTAACAGGTACATAATGGTAACTCGTTTTTATTTGCACTTCACTGGTGACATATGATGTTGAGCATCTTTTCATATGCTCATTTGCCATGTGTATATCTTCGATGAGGTGTCTGTCCAGATCTTCGGTCCATTTTGTAATTGGGTTCATTTTGTTGGATTTTAAGGGTTGTCTATTTTGGGTATAGTCCTATATACCCAAATTATCATAATTTTAAGTTTGGATCACCTTTCAACATTTTATTGCATTTCCAGTGTCATGAAATATCCCTGCTTTTTTCTTTTTTAATAGACTTATTTTTAAGAGGAGTTTTAGGTTCATAGCAAAATTGAGCAGAAAGTAAAGAATTCCATATTATGTATCCATTATTTACATACCATGTAAAGATACGTCTTTTGCAAATATTTTCTCCCGGTCTGTGGCTTGTCTTCTCATTCTTTTGATCTCTGTTCTTTTAACGTGAAGCTCTTTGGCAGTCTCCCTTCCTCTGGAACATCATCTTTGTCACGGCCATTTTCCTCATTTCTGTCAGTAGGTGTGCCAAGTTCTTCCAGCTACATCTCTGGAGCCCCTTGAATTGCAGCCGTGTAAATGTTCTCATAGTCCGCTCTTTCCATTTATGTGTAATTTGAATTTGGCTCCAGCATGGTCACTTTTCATTTCTTTATTGTACTTTCATCTTTGTTGCTGAGTTCCCTTTTTCAATGACCACTTTTTAAAAATTTCTGAGTGGGTTTATCACTGAGAAACAGCCGGCAAGGCAGCTACCCACCCTGCTACCTGTGCATGAGTAACAGCTGTGCAGTGGCCACTCATTAACAGCCTTGGAAAGAAGTGATGGGATTGGGCACTGGTCATGCTGTGCATCTGTTATTTACATAGTGATTTGTGGACCACAGAGCTAGCAGCAAAGTTAACACTTTATGCAATTACAGCTTAAGTCCAAACCATTTTGGGGGGAAACGTGTATGTTCCTTAACCATTGTGACTGAAATCCATGCATGTCGAAACCCATGAAATGTGAGCCCTGCCTGTATCATAAACTTTTTTCTCAATTGTAAATGATGTGAAATTATTCTAAGGGAAAGGGAAAAAAAACAAAAGGGATGCTCGAAACTAAGTGATCTCGTTCCCCCCTCTTTTTTCTTTCTTTTTTTTTTTTTTAAAACAGAATATGGCAAAAGTGAAAGAGTTGGTGGAGCTGCGGAGGGGAGTGTGTAGATTCCATGGCAGGCTGACGTAGCTTCTTATCTGATGGAAGTGATGCTGTGAATAACAAAGCTTAGAGGCAGCACACATTACCTAGAGTTTGGTTTGGGGCCTTCGTTGTATCCAGTCAGCGATAGCAGGAATGGCTTGAACTTTCTTCCGTAATGTTACCAGCCTGGGATGGATGTCCAACAAGTCAGGTTTAAAGACCAAAAGTGTGGTACTGCAAATTTCCCAGTAGAAATCTGCCCAAGTTACCTAGTTTAAAGCAAACAAAAATTGCCATTTGAACATAGAAGGCATAACTTACTAAATCAAGAATAGTTTTTTAATTCAAAATTATCTGTTACTACGAAAGTGGAATGAGTATATGATAGAAAATTACAGATAACACCATACTCCCAACACCCAGAGGTTGCTACCATTAACACCTCTTTGTATAATGGTATCACGTGTGTGTGTGTTCTAAATGAGATTTTAGAATACATACTCTTATAACTTGATTAAATCTCCACCTCTCTGCGACAATACATTGTCTAATACCCAGTCAATACTTTTTCATCTGTTCCAAAAATGTCCTTTATAGGACAAATCAGAATCCATTCCAAGACATGCATTTCGTCTGGTTATGCCCTTTAACTCCCTTTTACTGGAGATTTCACACTAGTCCTGAAGAACATCATGTCTTCAGGATTTGTGTGGTTATTTCATCTTACTTACCTTGTTCCTTTCTTTTGCAGAGTATAAAGGGATAGGGTGCAGGTTATCCCTAGAGAGTTTGTAGTTGCAAGTGAAATATTTTTGGCTAACACATTAGATTGCATCACCTCCGAAGACATAAGGTGTCTGAGCATTAGTGGATCCCCAGGTGTGATGACAGCCTGGTCCTACCCTTGTATACTTTTTCTTCATACACTTTTTTTTTTTTTTTCCCTTTGTGACTAGAAACTAATCTGGCTGAACATTACTTTGACTCCAGATGATGAATACCCATCAAAGAGTGAAGTTTAAATGTGCGCTATCCGTAGTTTTATTTTTGTATGGAATCTAATACTAATTGCTAGTGTTTCATGAACCTGCATACTAAACACCTGTCAACCAGGAGAGTTTTGGGTTAGAGGATTCAAGAGTTCAGTCAACACATACTTATGGCGTACTTACTGTGTGTGACGTGCAGGTCTATGTGCTAGGCTGGGCTGGACTGGAGAGCAAGATGTGATACAGGCCCTTTCCCAGGTGCACCTTTTGTTTTAGAAGCAGGAAGACAAACATTTGTCAACCAGTAGGGATGATGAAGAAAAAGTGAAGTGATGGGAAGGACCCTCAGGTGGTCATGGAGGGAAGACCCTTACATGTGTGACATTTAAGCCCAGGCTTAAATGAGAACAGGATCCAGACAGGCAGCGGTCTGCAGATAAAGCCTTGTAGGCAGAGGGAACAGCAAGTATAAAGGCTCTTAGGTGGGAGTGAGTTGTGTGTTGGAGGAGCACACAAAATGCCAGTGTGTGTGGAACACTGAGGAAGAGTGCTGAGAGATGGGGTCAGGAGGTAGTGTACAGAAGAATCTTAATAGAAAACGAGGGGGGGCGGATTTTAAGTCCTTCAGTAGGGCAGGGAGAGGACCATTTTAGGAAAGTCTCTTGGAGAACGTGGGAGGAAATGAAGAGGCATGTGATAGGTTGGAAGTTGAGAATAAAGATGTGGAAAGTATGCGTCCGTGTCACCCAGAAGGACTCAACAGACCATAAACAGAGTAAGTCCCAAGAGTGCTGCCCAAAGCAGTCTGTGTCTTCTAGAATGCAGCCTCCTTGAAGGCACAGATTCCGACCTACCGCAGCATGAGTCATGTTTAGACTTGAGTTTTTGTCAGTAACGTGCTCCTCTCTCTCAGTAGTAGGGCTGTAATAGCTGATGGTCTCGCTTTTTGTGATCTTACTAATTATTAGTCAATGCCTTGGTCTGTTCCAACCATCAGGGGTTGGAAAATGGTGATAGTTGATTTTAATCTCCCCTTTTACTTACTAACTGGAATACTTACATGAAGACAAACTTTGCCCTTCGGTTTGTGTTATCTTGAGGTACAATTGGCACAATCAGAAAGGCAAGATAAATTCTTCATTCAAACCTCCCAACTTTTTAAAAAAGAGTTTTCAGAGTAATAATTTGTCTCCATATCATCTTCCAAAAGTAACCAATGAAGTTCTCTTTGGTTTGGGGGTTTGCATGTATGTGTTTATGTTTGGTTGTGGTGGTAGGTGTGGTCATCATAAATTCATGGATTCATTCATTTTCATTTGTTTCAATCCACTGCTGTTAATATTCTTAGCGAAGCTTGAATTGTCCCATATTTAGCCAGTGTAAGCGTTTGCTTCAAGTTGACTTTTGAGTCCCCAGTTCAGTTGTCTTTGATAATTTATTTGCTTCTGATATGACAAGGTATTTCCAGCTCATCTCTTACATTTCCTGTCCCAAACTGAGAACGAGCCATTTCTCTAAGAAGCCCTGGTTCCTTTTAATATTTAGAGACCAGAATCTGGGTCCTGAAGGTGCCCAGGACAACAGGGTTGGTCATTGTTTCAAGAAAAAGAAATACAACATGGTTTTTCCTTTATTTAGCCTAAGATACAGTCAGTGCATCATGACCTTATATATATATAAATTTATATATTCACGTATAATATTTTTATATATATTCATATATATATTTCACATTCAGGAATAGGGTGTTTACTTAGCTTCGCTGACCTTACATCTCTGTCTTCTTTCTCCCACACTGAAAATCCTGGTTCTCAGTGATATCCACATATTTTCTTACTGGTTTACCCCAAAATATAGTTATATCAGAAATCCTAATAAAACAATATGACTGTACCCAGTACCACTAAGAATATAATTACAGGAACGCCCGTTTTACTGCGCTTTGCTTTATTGCATGTCGCAGCTAGCACGTTTTTGACAAATGCTTGTGGCAACCCTGTGTTGAGCAAATCGATTGGCACTATTTTTCCAACAGCATTTGCTCACTTTGTGTCTCTGTGTCACATTTTTGTAATTCTTGCAATATTTCAAAAACTTTTTCATTATTAGGGTAATCTGTGATCAGTGATTACAACTCTGAAAGCTCAGATGATGGTTAACATTTTTTAGCAATAAAGTATTTTTTAATTAAGATATGTACATTGTTTTTTTAGACATAATGCCATTGCACACTTAACAGATTACAGTATAGTGTAAACATAACTTTTATATATACTGAGAAACCAAAAAATCCATTTGATATGTGATACTATATTGCTGTGGTCTGAAACCAAACCCATAATATCTCTCTGATGTATGCCTCTACTAAAAATGGTATAAGATTTCTATTTTTTGGTTCTGAGAGAATATTTATAATAAAATGCGTATTCAGGTTACTGTGTTTTACAAATGATGATATTTCTTAAAATGGTTCTCCTCAAATAGGTACTTCTCTACACACTTCATGCATCAATTTAACATAGGTTCATTTGCTTCACTTTGCTTTTGCTTTGCAGTATTAGCTTTTTAAGATATTTTCATTGTTTTTATATAATTATATAAAATATTTTAGTTCATAGTTCCAAAGTTAAGTCCACCAAAACAGGTTTATTCAAAGTAGTTTAGCTTTTATCCCTGCTATCTGTTCCTTCCTTATGGGTAACTTTTTTTTCTCACTGAGTCTTTGTAAGTTTTTGGTTATATGTATATGTATATGTGTATACTTGTATTTTTTAAAGATGTAAAAACATACTCACAGAGTTACCAGTAAGCCACTCCTTTTCCCCTAAGTATGTGTCCAAATCTTGCAGCAGATGAGGTCCATCACATGTAAGTAGCTCATTAAACATCTGATTCTAGGAGAGGATGAAGAAGATCACTTTAAGGATAATAGGAAGAAAAATAACATGATTTGAAGAGGAAGTAGATTTTTCCATCTTTATTCTCCCACATGAGTTCAGAAAGAAAGAGAAGTAGCTATGTGTTCTTGTTTGTTTGTTTCAAATATATGACATTATCGAGATTGAGGTCTGATTCCTTATACTTAGTCATCCCTTTGTTACTCATGGATTACTTTTGTGTCCACTTCTTACAGTTTCTTTGTATGTAATGACCAAATATTTCACCTACAAAATCTTTTCATGATTTTTATCTTAATTTTTATTAAGATAATTTATAAAATTGTCCTCATTCTCTTTGAAGTGAAATAACATAACTGAGGGTAAAGAAATTAGTTTTATTTTGTATGGCTAGGCTCCTTCAGCTTGGCAGTCTTTTATTTCACCATCACACTTAATGGAAGTGATCTATAATGAATCCTTATGCTCTTAGGCTTTATGGATCTTGTTGGCTTGACATTGTGCCTTAGTATGAGGTTTGTCTGCCTTGACTATTATCTACAAAACCATCAACTAGTGCCCCCTTTTGATATATTATGTAAGGTAACATTATAAATCAAATATCCTTAGAAGAGAAAAATTAAGATATATCCATTTTTAAAAATTGTCTTTTTCCTTGAAACTCTGCAAGACCAAATAATTTATTCATGGCCTCTTTCTTTGTAAGAAATGTTTGCTTATATATGAAAATTCTGGCCGGTGTGTATCTTGGATATAAAATGTAAGCCAAACTCAAAAATACCATAAAATATGTGTATGTATATTATTTATTAATAATGATAAATTCCAGCCTTACTAAGGCAAGTTGGGTAGTGGATAGCTCCCTCACCAGCTTGCTGATTTACTTTCTGTTATTACTATAACTTAGCAAGGTAATAGAGATTACTGCCACATAATGCCTTGTTTGTAGGGTACAGTTTACAAAAGCATCATTACATATTTACATACATTTGCCTGATCTTACAAACTGAAACTTGGGAAGCTTGTCATTATTTTGACTTTATATCCTTTCCACTGTTCTATACCACCTACATTCATAAGGTTCTTTCTCTATGGTTAATATGTCATAGTTTAAAATAAAACAGTGTGAGTTCTTCTTACACATGATTTGTGAGCTGAGAGACAGTGGGCCCAGATCCATGTGGCACTTCCCACAGCCCAGCCCAGCTCAGCTCAGCATCAGGTGGGAAGGTGATGGCCAATTTGGCTCTCCTAAGAAAGCTAGAAATGGAACGGAGTTGAATGGAATAGGATGTAGCTGCTGGACAGCTTTCCAAAACTTTTGTGTGCTCACCTGTGTCATTTTGTTACTTCTTCGAATGTGCATTTCCACCACTCGAGGTACATGTACACAGATGCCTGTGTGCACACAGTGGCAAATAAAAATCTTTTCTCTGTATTGACTTCTCCCGTAGCCCAGGTTCTCTGTAAGTTTGGTGAATCATCCCAGTGACTCATCTCATCCAACGATATGTAAATTACTAACCCCAAATTATTATTGGTATTTAAGAGTCATTGTAAGGAATACTCACCAAAATAACATAAAGAAGATGAAATTTGATTATACATCCTTTTTTCCAGATGTGTACTTTTTAAAATGCATTTCTTGATAAATCTTAGATAGCCGCTCTTACACTTGGTAGACTCAGAAATTTCCTTCCTCTTCCTCTGGAGACTTATAAGTCAGGAGGTTTCTCAACCTGAGAAGTCATTGCTACAGTATTCTATCAAAGGACTTTTAGAGGAATGATGTTTCTCCAAAGCACCATTTTTAAATCCATACTACCAAAATCGTTTAGTATTGGAAATGCGCCACTGGCATTTCTTTGATCCTGTTCATCCTTCGTCCTCCCCTCCACATCCTTTAGATGAGGAAACTGAAACAGACACGTTGAATAACCAGAGAAACACTAGTGGTAAATTCAAGGATTATCAGGGTGACCAATGTCCACAAACGTATTTTGCCTTCTAAATTAATTTTAATTTTTTAAAAACTGGAAGTGGAATTTTTAGCAACAGATACTGAAATATTTATAATTATGTGTATTTGATAGATTCTTAGGGCACATATAATAAGAGGACTATGTTTACTATCCATCCATCTTCACTGTTACCAATATTCTCTTTTGAAAAATTACCTGACCACAAGGTGGCAGCAACGCGACCCACTTCAGGGAGACTAGGTGAAGAAATGAACTAAAACCAGGCAGGTTTTTTGCCGTATACTAGCCAGGTCCTCCTTATTAATCAGATAGTATGTAGGCAACTGCAACATTTCTGCAATGCATCCTCCCTTCATATGATTTATTTATAAATTTGGATTTTGTCCTGTGAATTTTTTTTTTTTTTTTGAGATAGGAGGTATGTAAGAGCATTGTTATTCTAATACAAAGGTAGAGCGTTACTCATATCATAAGCATTCAAAGAATAGTTTCCTCTGGGAGGTAGCTTCTATTATGGAGCCTCAGCCACAGAAGGGTAAAAAATAGCTAAGGGCAAACCCATAAGTTGATAGACTGCCAGTCAGTGGGGTTTTGGCATGTGAAACGAAAAGCTTTAGATACATTATGTATCTACTTGTTTCTGCATTTATAAGGATGTGTAAAATAGAGATGCCATGTCCGACAAAAAGAAAAGCAATGAGCAGTGAACTATATAACACTATTAATTATATATATTAATAGTTATTAATATACTAGATAATACAGTTATAATATCTAAAATTTGTTGAACACTTTCGACCTAGTCATAGGTACTCATGCTAACATTTAATCCTCCCAACATACTTCAAAGTAGATTCTATAGTACCCCTACTTTACAGACAAAGAATTTGAACTATTGATAGGTAGGTATGTGACAACTAGAAGGGCATCAGAATTCAAGCCTGGCAGTGTGACTCCAGAGCCTGAATATATTGCTATATCAAAGCTGAGCTTTTATTTTAGACTTTGCTCTGGTTAGTCATGTGTGTGTGTGTGTGTGACACACCTTACATTTATATCAAGGAATCAGTAAATGTGAATACTTTTATGTTCCAAATATCTCTACTGAAATCAGAAGTTCCTAATTAAGTGGTATTTAGCATAAATATGTTTAAGTAAATTGTTAAACTGTCATTCGCTCTGTGCGGTACCTTTTGGATATAGACCTTAAGCCCCACCGCATAGGTACGCACCGACCAGCTGCCGGCGCTGCGGCCTTAACAACCCGTGGTTAAGAGGTCTGAGTCCGAGCGGCTGGGATTTGAATTCCTTGTGTACCACTTTCTAGCTAAATAACCTTATACAAGTTACTTCTACTACATGAACCTCAATTTCTCCATCCGGGAAAATGAAGATAACAGTTTCTCCCTAAGGGATGCTCTGGGTATTAGTCACTCATTTAAAAGGAAGTATGCATAGGTGATGAGGCCATGGCTCTGGGCAACTCCATAACCACTCTGAGTCTCAGTTTCTTCATCTGCAAAGTGAGCATGATGATAGAAAGCACGTATCCCATGGAAGGATTGGGAGGGCTGGCTGAGGCCACACGCATGCAGGGGCCGGAGCAGCATCTGCATATGCTGTTGGAGAAATCAGCTCTTGCTCTCTGTCGTTCGGCAAGGATGTAGTCCCTGCTGCGTGAAAGGCACACGGTCGGCGTGGGGACATGAGTGGTAGTACAGACATAATTACTACCCTCACCACACGTTCTACCGGAAGAGACGAGTCAGTAAGAGTTTAAAATAGAGTCTGTGATGCGTGCCCCCCAGGAAGCCACTAGGGGGCGGTAATGGAGCATAACCTACAAGGTCTATTTAGAATTCTGGACAAAGATGATGGATTTGACACACATGTATGATTTTTTTCACCCCCAAAGCACAGTAAATACATATTTTTGAAAAGACAGCACCCACAAAGAGGTGGAAAACAGGAGAGGAGACAAGAGAAAACAAAATTCAAAGCTATAAGACTCATGGATGACTGGTATCTGCAAAGGGAAAGCTGAAAACCAATACTGTCTACCCCATAAAACCCTCAAATGGTTCGGAAAAAGGCAGGCTACATCCAGGATTGTGAGTAAGGAGGTAAGGGAGAGGGTAATGGGAGGAGTGGCTGAAAGCTGTGAAAGAGGTAGTTTTAGCATAAGATTTCCTTTTTCATTTTACACTGCTTGACACATGCCACTTCCCCGTGTTTATCAGAAGGCTGGAGAGGGGAAATCGATGGTCTGTGTGTTGGGAGCTGACATTCATAATGTCTTCAAAACAGGGGATTGAGTGAATATATGCATACTGAACACTAAGTTCTGAGACTCGTAGCCCTCTCTTCGCTGATTGTTTCCCAGAACACTGGCAGTCACACCTTTCTTTCCGGGCAAAAATCGGAAGTCTTCTCTAGGGACTCTTTCTAGACCCTAAAGATAGTAATATTGGGAAATACTCCACAAATGGCCTAGTGATGCTCAAAATCAACACACCCTGTCCACATGCCGAGAGCTTTGGGTAAACTTTTTAATTTTCCTATTCTTTATCATGGATTCTAAAGGATGGTCTGACTCCTGGGGAAAGACAGACCAAAACAGAGGAAAAATATGATAATAAAGATTACAGAATGACAACGGTGCACCAGGTGTTTTAGGGTGACCAAACCAGACTGAAGCAGTGTGACACACAAGACAGACATATCCATGCTGTCCGTCATCATTACACCTCTTGTCATCGAGCCTTCATTTTAATTTTGGGAATCCTGGAGGACAAAGAAGTAAGCAAAGACAGAGGATGGCGTCCGGGAAATAGGACTCCAACTCAAGAGAAGGACATCCCTGGGATGGCAGTGGAGGCAAGTCCAGTGGGGACAGATGTGCAGATGCACAGAAAACCCAGACAGCTCTGCAAAAAAAGAGGGGGATCTCGGCCAAATCTCCCCAAGAATATAGTGGATAATCTGATATCACTGACCTTGTGGAAAATTGTATTGGCGGCCTACTGGATGGTGTGGGAAGGTTCAGCAATAAACGTAAAAATAATTAGGCAAACGAAGGACAGGCAATTACTAATTTTGAGGAGGTAAAGCGAGCAATGAAATAAAATCAAAGTATACTACAACTGACAGTTCTGTACGATATTTGCGTAGGCATACTAACATAACAAGTGACTATTGATTTGGCCAAAACATTTTAATATCATTATATTGGGAGTTCAGGAGAAGGGGAGCAGAGACAATGATTACATAAGAGATAAATTCTTATTACTATAATAAGAAATCCAGAGAAACTAAAATTAGTGAATCAAAGAAAGCCGGATTTACGTGTCCTAAAGAAATAGTTAAAAGTGTTAAAAAGTGGGTTATGTCTGAGGAGGTGTTAATGTGAAGAGACGGTAGAGCAGGGAATCACTGTATTTTGTTCTAAATATTTTAATATAATTTGATATTTTAAAACTATAGGTATGTCTTACTTTGATAAAAAGAAACTTTTTTTTTTTTAAGATTTTTTTATTTGAGAGAGAGAGCAAGCACGAGTGGGAGGAGGGGCAGAGGGAGAGGGCGAAGTAGACTCCCCCGTGAGCAGGGAGCCCATTGCGGGGCTCGATCCCTGAGCTGAAGGCTGACGCTTAACCAACTGAGCCACCCAGGCGCCTGATAAAAAGAAACTTTTTAAAGCACCCTACAAGTAGATATGATTAATAGTAGTAATAACAAACTGATCACATTACTTTTATATCTTGTTTTTTCTCTGCCCAAGGAAAACGTGACATGAAATCGTCCAATGTGTCCACAATCGCATCAACTTGACATTGTTCCAATTCTGTTTTTCCAGCCAAATCTATAAAATAGAGACCATTTAAGGCCCAGACATACGCTGGATTTAATTTACTATATTCAAACGTTAGCTTTTTAATAGACAATATATTCTTATGGTTCAAAAATTCAAAACAATATAAAACTGTATCCAATGAAGACTAACTTCTATCCGTGCCCCATCCATCTCATTGTGCTCCTTTACCTACCTACCATATTGGTAACCCTTCTATTAGGGGGTTTTTTGGTATTCTTCCATTATTTCTTTATGAAAATAAAACTATATATCCCACTCAATATACACATCCCCGTATATCCTACAGATCTTTCCTTTACGAGTTTGTTAAGGGCATCCCTGCTCTTTTTTCAGCTACATGGGATTCCTGTAAGTAGAAGTGCCACAATCCATTTAATTACGCTCAGCTGATTAGGTTTGTTTCTTTCATATCTTCTGTTTCATTCTTTACACTATACTGTTCAATAATAAAGTTATTTAATAAATAAATAGTGAATATATGTCATGTATTTTTTTCAGTTATCAAAACTCTTCAACACAATAAACATATTACCTGTGTTTTTGGCCAAGTATCTTGCTATTGCCAGGCTCTGGTGAAGGTTAAGTCCATCAACTTCCAAAATGGGGATTTTACCAAATGGAAGAGCTTAAAAAAAATAAGCAAAAAATCAACTTCCATAACAAAATCAAGTAATACTACTTCCATTTTTACTGATAATTATGGAAACAAATCATGATTTTAAAGTTCTGGAATTCCTGGATATTTGTTCTAAAAGGGACAATAGGCCCCCTCTAGTGGAATCTTTATAAGTCTTTTAGAAGAAGAGTTGTTAGAAGACCTGCTGCAGAGCTCATGGCAGCACCAGGTCTAAAACCCAGGTTTATAGTGATACCACATATTAAACTGTGTATTACCTCATAGGCTTACATATACCTACTACTAACCTTTTAAATAAACCTTTCTTTTAAAGCTTCATTAATTTTTGTGGCCTCGATCAGCGATACCATTAATTATTCTTTAAAACCATAGTCTGGGGCACCTGGGTGGCTCAGTCGACTAAGCATCTGCTTTCGGCTCAGGTCATGATCCTAGGGTCCTGGGATCGAGCCCCACATCAGGCTCCCTGCTCAGCGGGAAGCCTACTTCTCCCTCTCCCTCTGCTCCTCCCCCCTGCTCGTGTGCTCTCTCTCTCAAATAAATAATCTTAATAATAAAAAAATTTTAAAAAGAAATAAAAGAAATTTTTAAAAGATGAGGAAATGGAGAGTTTGATTTATATATTGAGTTATGGTAAGGAATTTAGCCACATTCTTATTTTGATGAGGGACTATGTGAAGTATATAGTAAGGCAGCAAGCAATTTGTACAAATACAGGGCAGCCTCAGAGCAGATGCATTAACATTTTATCTGTAGATCCTACTTTGTTTTCTTATCTAAACTTATTATATTTTTGTCAGAGGGTAATATATGTTTTTATAGAAAAATTCTAACTTGAAGATAAATAAATTCTACCACATAATTATAACCATTTGAATATTTTAATTGCTTTCTCATTTATATTTAAAAACAGCATCCTAAAGTATGTATTTGTAAACCACTTTTTTTATTTGACAACATCTTTTTGAAATCTTTCCAAATCAGTGAAACATCACCTTTTTAATGGCTACATTATATTTTATCATATGTATTGATCACAATTTTTCCAACCAGTGCCTTACTTTGGGAAATATAATTATTTTGGGAAGAGAGAAAAGAACAAAGTGCCGCTCACAATCCCTTGACCCTAGAGCAACTACTAGAATCAACCGTCAAGTGTCTTTCGTACACATAAGTAAAAGATGAACTGTGCTTCATGTCAGGAATCAAACCGTCTTTGAGTACATACCTAATGAGTGTGCCGAGTACTAGTCTTCGTGATGCCTCATCTGCAGTGAAGTATGTGATTAGGAATTGACATGCCTAACATTTTTAGGGAGGCCCCCTTTATGCTAGGCAGTGTACTACATATTTAACGTACCCATTAGGTTTTCTAGTTCTCACAACAACCCTATGATGTAGGCATTAACTATTATCCCGTTTTACAAATGAGGAAGTGAGGTGAAGAGAGGTTATATAATTAGTCCAGGTCACATACCTGGTAGAGGTGAGATTCAGACTGAGTTCAGCTGGAACTTTTGCTCAGCTGTGTTGATAGTTCTAAGAGCCATGTTTTGAGAATACATTAAAAATCAGAGCAAACCCAGAGGATAGTATCCAAGTTAGAGAAGGGTCTGAAAACCACATTTTATAAGGCTTGGCTGGAGAACTTGGCACTCTTTACTGGGGGAGATAAAACAAACGAAGACAAAAGAAACCTAATAGCCATCTTCAAATATGGTACAGCTGTCAAACGGATGAAAAATGGGACATTTTCCGACTACCTCTAAAATGCAGAGCTACAATTAAAAGGTACTTTAAAAGGCACAGATATTAACTCAAGATGAAGAATAATTTTTTAGCATTGGCACCATGGATGACCTGTGGGATGGTAAGCTTTCAGCTACTAGCAGCATTTGAGCCAAGATTGGGATGATTGCCAACACTTGGAATATCGGGCTGCATCTAACAAGAAGAAATTTAAGAATACAAATGCCAAGTCCTTCATTTGGTTCCAGAAAAAAATTAATAACTTTGGGGTTATTGGAGATGTAATCCAACAGGAGCACCTGTCGAACAACTTTAAGGAATTTAGTGATGCTGAATATAAGGCTGTGAGATATGGCTGTCAAAATAACCACTCTAATCTTGGTAAAATGTCTTTGGATAGTATCTGGACCCGTGCTAAGCGTGGTGGTCATGCTGTGCTCTGCGCTGGTCCTATGCCTGGAATACTGTGATTTCCCAGGCACCACACATTAAGTCTAACAGGAGCTTGTCCTTCTTGGGTGGTGAGGAAATCCAAATCGAGGGATATAAATGGATCACTCAAGGAACAGAAGAGAGTTGTCCCTTGGACCTACCTTGCGGATCTGATATAGTCCATGGGAAACAGTATCTAAATCAAGAAGTAGAGCCTGGGCTGGGAAGTTTGGGCTGACAGTCACAATGATGATCAGAGAAACAATCAAGCAAGTTCTAAAAGTTGGTGACTAGAGGGATGGATGCATGAGTTAACTGGGACTCAGTTCTGTATTCAGCCAGTGACCTTTATCTTCACTCAGAGTATTATCATTGAACTGTCTACACAGCAGTGGCTTTTTCTCTATGCTGTCTTAAAGATACTAGATTGCTTCAAATAATTGGATGTGAAAGAAGGAATAATCAGCTTTCCACGATTTAAGATGATATGTCCAAGACCGATGTATGAAAGCCACTGAGGAGATAGATTTTAATTTTATATAAGGAAGAGTCTTTTAAAATTTTCCTTCTTTGGGGCGCCTGGGTGGCTCAGTCATTAAGTGTCTGCCTTCAGCTCAGGTCATGATCCCGGGGTCCTGGGATCGAGTCCCGCGTGGGGCTCCCTGCTCCGCAGGAAGCCTGCTTCTCCCTCTCCCGCTCCCCCTGCTTGTGTTCCCTCTCTCGCTGTGTCTCTCGGTCAAATAAATAAAATCTTAAAAAAGAAAAAAAAATTTTTTTCCTTCTTTCTTCCCAGAATTTCATGGAGACATTGGACATCCTAAACCTACTGAGTCTCAATTTTTCTAATCTTTTTTCTCTTATTTTTTATTTCTTTTTCCTATTGTACTTTCTGGAGGAGTTCCTTATTTTTCATCATTTCATTGATTTCATTTGTTTTGTCTGTATCAAATTTTTAATTTTCAAAACCTTTTTGTCTCTGAACATTCCTTTTTATAGCATGCTTGTTCAGAATATATAGAATTTTTCTCTCTGAGGGTCTTTTTTTTTTAAAGATTTTATTTATTTATTTGATAGAGACACAGCGAGAGAGGGAACACAAGCATGGGGAGTGAGGGAGGGAGAAGCAGGCTTCCGGCAGAGCAGGGAGCCCGATGCTGGGCTCGATCCCAGGACCTTGGGATCATGACCTGAGCCGAAGGCAGACGCTTAATGACTGAGCCACCCAGGCGCCCCATCTCTGAGGGTCTTATATTTTTTGAAGTTTTTTTCTTGCTACATCACCCTGATGCCCTCAGCTGATTTTTTCTCCCTCTGCTTCTTTGTTTATGTCTATTTCACATTAGAGGTCTTCTCACAAATATCTCTTAATTTATGGTTTGCCATTCCTGTTTTAAATAAGCGAGAGGAATAGAAGCTAATTGGAATCTCAGTGTATATGGGATCGGGCTGGGCCATGGCCTTGAGACTCCCACCTGTCCAGTGTCTGTTAGACATTTCTCTGGGGCTGATCGGCTTCCTCCCGAGAGAACTCTTTCTGTCAAAGGGATACTCGTCTGGGTGTAGCATTCTGATTGGGGAGCAGGGGATAAGGGCTCTGAGTCTCACGATTTAGTTTTAGACTTCCACTGAGTCCCGCTTGTAGTATTGTGTCCTCAGAAATGCCTGTTGTCCCACAAAGCTCTGGTCCGTCGTCCATACTGCTTCCAGGGCGGTCATGCTGTTGCTTCACGTGCTTCCAGTCCACCCTCTGTCGGTTCAGCTTTTAGAGTTCTCTGTTGCTACCAATTCCTGAGCCTCTTGGGGGCTCCCTGCAGTGATTCGGCTTGCCTTCGCCTCTACCAGGCTTATATTTGGGCATCACTGGCCTACTTAGTCACCTTACCATTCTTGGACCTGTTTTCCAGCTTTAAGAATTTTGTGCTCTCTTATTCAAGCTTGATGTCTTTGTTCTTGTAGGGCTTTGCCTTTTTTTTTTTTAAAGAAGTATTTTAATGTTATTTGAAAAGAAAAAAATGTCAATACCTGTGCACAGTCCACCAGGTTTGACCTGGAAGAACTTTTTTTTTTTTTAAGATTTTATTTATTTATTTATTTGAGAGAGAAAGAGAGAGAGCGCGGGAGCATGTGTGTGCACAAGCAGGGGGAGGGGCCGAGGGACAGGGAGGAGCAGGCACCCCGCTGATCAGGGAGCCCCATGAGGGGCTGAGAGGCTTGATCCCAGGACTGTGAGACCTGAGCCGTAGGCAGATATTTAACAGACTGAGCCACCCAGGTGCCCCAACCTAGAACTTTTTAATAGAAATATCCAATGATACTCTAGGTTATCACAGAGGGGAGATCATAGAGGGTTTCCAACACCAGAGAGCACTCCTGAATCAGATGGGAGATGAGGCCAGCTAAAATTTTAATAAACTGTTTTTAACATTTATTTTTTCCTTTTTTCTCAAAGCAATAAAGTCAGGATTTCCCGGCTTCCCTTGCAGTAATGTGTAACCATGTGAAGAAGTTCTTGGGCGCCTGGGTGGCTCAGTTGGTTAAGCGACTGCCTTGGGCTCAGGTCATGATCCTGGAGTCCCAGGATCGAGTCCTGCATCAGGCTACCTGCTCGGCGGGGAGTCTGCTTCTCCCTCTGACCTTCACCCTTGTCCTTCTCTCTCTCTCTGTCATTCTCTCTCTCTCAAAAATAAATAAAAAAATTAAAAAAAAAAAAAAAAAGAAGAAGTTCTTGCCAAGGGGCTATAAGCAGAAGTGAGGTGTAAAACTCTCTGGTCATGCGGTTGAAAGAAAGAGATGTGCCTCCTTCCCTCTCATACTTCCTGTGAGCTGGAATGCGGAAGGAGACAGGACTCTCTTACACTATGTAAATAAGACAACCAACTAGGGGTGGCAGATCAACAGAAAAAAGGAACGTAATCTTTGACAGCTCTGTGGAGGAGAACTGCCATATCAGCTTGGGCTTTTATGCAAAAGAAATAAATTGCTATCCTCTTTAGTCCATTTTTGTGTTGGGTGTCTGTTTTTGTTTTTTGTTTTGTTTTGTTTTGTTTTGTTTTAATTTAAATTCTAGTTAGTTGACATACAGTTCAATATTGGTTCAGGAGTAGTGTTCAATGGTTCATCATTCACATGCAGCACCCAGTGCTCATCATAACAAGCGTTATGTTAATCCCCATCTCCCATTTAGCCCATCCCCCACCCACATCCCTCCATTAACCCTCAGTTTCTTCTCTGTTGTTAAGAGTCTCTCATGATTTGTTTCCCTCTCTTTCTCTCTCTTTTTTTCCCCTCCCAAATGTCCATTTTGTTTCTTAAATTCCACTTGTGCTGGGTGTCTGTTAAAGCATTGGAAACTATATATATATATATATAATCTCCTAACCATCATGAACTTTAAGATACCTTCCCACTCTGAGAATCTATGAAAATATTAGGTGCCTGGGTGGCTCAGATGGTTAAGCATCTGCCTTCGGCTCAGGTCATGATCCTGGAGTCCTGGGATAGAGTTCCGCATCGTGCTCCCTGCTCCTTGGGGAGCCTGCTTCTCCCTCTGCCTCTCTCTCTCTCTGCCTCTCTCTCTCTCTGCCTCTCATGAATAAATGGATAGAATCTTTAAAAAAAAAGAATCTATGAAAATATTAAGAAAATTTGGCAATTCCATTTTCAATAACATGGTGAAAAGTCAAGATAGAATAGGGTATGAGGCACTCAAAGAATTTATATCTAAAAACTAAAAGGCAGAATTTGTTATATGTAACATCTTTTCAGCTTGTTATCCATCTTAATTAATGGATAAAATTAAATTTCACCCATTTTATAACAACAGAATTAAAAATCCCATGTACAAATTCTGATAGCAGGAGGAAAGTTTGGATATTAATGAGAAAGTTTCATGAGAACAGGAAATAAGATATTCTAGCCCACCAGGGAAGAGTTCTCTAACAAGGAAAAGAGTGGCTACAGGGCTAATGATTTTAAAGGAAATCATGTTTCCAGAAGGCATGTGGCGATATGTATTGTTAATATGCCAGTTATCATGGTGTTATTGGCATTATCTAGTGTAAATAACTTGGGCCACTCAATGAAATTGACCTGTGTTTGAAAAACAGTTTTACCTTGCTAGGACTGTGAACCTGGAAAAATTACATAAATTCTGTGTGCTGAAGTTATCCCAGCTATAAAATAGATACAATAATACATCCCATGAAGGCATGCTGGAGAAATTAAATGAAATCCACCAGGTGCCCAAAAGTCTTCAAATACTCAATAGTTGTTTTCAACTTCATCTTTAAGCAAATTTGTAATAATACCAACACAAAAATGTGAATTTTGGACAAATAATTAATATTTAGTTAGTATTTCTAGGCAGACATGATGGGCAAAGAATTAGCTCATCTATCCTTTCTTCATTCTAAAAAAGAAAAGAAAATAGCACCTAGAGGATGACTTACAGCTTACTGAGAGCCACACACTTTTTAATGTAATAATATTTCTAATTCTTCCCCTTTGTCCTGAGTGCTAACTAGCATGTTTTCATTGGATTACCTGCCCAGTTTGTCAATTTGCTCTTCCCTCTGATCAAACATTCCAGTTTTGTTCACATATTCACCCTTCTTTTGAATAGTCACATACCTCTTGAACATTGATTCTAACCCCAACTTCTGAGGTAGACTAGATGGTTCAAGGTTCTTCCCATCTGCTTGGTCAGTGACTGGTTCAGAAATGGACATGTGACCCAATCTGAGCCAGTTGAGACATGACAAATTTGCTGAGGTCTTCTGGGAGTTTTTGTTCATTCTTCTGGGAACACTTAAGGAAGCAGTGCTCTTTCTCTCTCATATACCTCTTGATGTTACTGTTCAAGGCTGTGGGGCTGAAATTGCTGCAAACTTATTGCTACTAGCCTCATGATGCCGGCAACACACAGAGGAGGAAAAATGAATAAAGTCATCTCCTGAAACCTGTCCTATTTCTGGATTTTCAGTTATGTGATACAATTTCCTTCTTATTTAAGCCACCTTGAGTTTGGTTTTCTGTTAGAGCGGCATATCTGATCCCTTGTCAGAAGATTGTAGATATCTGTAGTAAGCCCATCCAATTCGAGTTGTCAAGAATACTCGCTTCAGGATTCCCTCTTTCAGCTCTTATGACAAAACTTCTTATTGTTTATCTTGATATATTCTTTCTGTGAGGTTTGTGTTTTCATCTTGAATAGGAAAATTTGGGCCACATAGCATTGATTTAACTTTCCTGAACTGCTGCTTCTCAATGTAAAGCTACATGAGATTTAAAAACCTCTATTTTTTCATTTCCCTGAGGAAAGACAGAAGGTTTTGGAGACATATTTTCCCTACATTTTCATAAACTGTTACTTGTGCCACTTACTTGATTTGACTTCAGGCCAATCAGCTTGTTCTATCCTGTGGTCTTCATATTTTATGTCCAAATAAGCAAATATGTAACGAATAATTTCCGCTCTCCCCCTCATATTAAAATAAATGAGTTTGTAGTTTGGCATGGTAAGATTCTGGAGAAAGAAAAATTGAAAGATTATTTTAACAGCCCTCTAGAGATGTTTCAACATTTTCCTTTGGGGACTTTTTCCAAAACTTTATGGCATATTTTGAGATAACTGGAGATATTAAGAGAATATTTCAAAGCCCGAATCCTAATAACATGGGGAAAATTTGACAGAATTAAGATCATGACCCTCTCTTTAAGAACTAACTGGATGGGGCACCTGAGTGGCTCAATTGGTGTCTGCCTTCAGCTCAGGTCATGATCTTAGAGTCCTGGGATCAAGTCCCATGTGAGGTTCCCTGCTCAGCAGGGAGTCTGCTTCTCCCTTTCTCTCTGGCCCTCCCCCCCACAGCTCCTGCTTTCTCTTTCTCAAATAAATGATTAAAATCTTAAAAAAAAAAAAAAAGAACTAGCTAGAACATTCCAGTGAAATAACCAGACTCAAATTTTACTTACAAAAAAATTCAGAGTGAGAGGCTATCTATCACCAACTGTCAGAGGACAGAGTCCAAAACTTTCCATTTTAAGCTGTTTTTGTCCTGCCTTTACTCACTTGTAATTTGACATTTGGTTTATTGTTTGCTTTGGTGACTCAGCTGAGTTTGTGAGGACAGCTGGATGAGGATTTCAAGAACAGGGTACATGCAAGAGGATGGGAGCCAAGCATTGCCAACCTGAGCTGGCCGTCCATCCACTCTCTTCCCACCCCCGTGGAATTCCCCTCTAGGAATCAATGACTTAGGGAAACATTGCTCTCTTTTTTTTTTACTGCATCCATGCCGCTGGGTTGCAACTTCTCTTAAATTTCGGAGAGTTGGCTAATACTGGCGGCATTGGGTAAGCTGTAGGTCGTTACAATTTTTTGATTTTCTGTGATTTGTATCCTCCCATTGTCATTGTTTATAAACAATGATTTTAAGCAATAGTAGTAGCACGTATGGTAATTTTATGATGATCCGGCAACTGAGAAAGAAACATTTTCATTTGAAATTCAGCTCTTCATCTTAGTTGCTATGTATCTTTGGGCTAATCAATAAAATCTCTCTGAATTTCAAAGTCCACTTCTGTAAATAGAGGTACTAATACGGATTTGGAGATTTAATGAGGTAATACATGTAAAGCATTTAACACAATGCTAAACACTTAATTATTAGCTATCAACAATAATAACTTTGAATTCATTCTATGGTCAAGAATAAACACTGTGAATACAGTACACTAAAAATAAATAATAATCATAGTAATTCCATGAATAGAAGTCATAAATATCATTAATTTTAAGTGGTTTAAGTATAAATAGTTCATTTTCTGCTAAGGAAGTCTTTCAAGGATATTAATGGAATGTGAGATAGAAAAGTTGGGCTGAACTCTCAAAACAAAATTCTATCTGAAAGCACATCACAGGGTCCTGGGTGGCTCTGTCAGTTAAGCGTCTGCCTTCTGCTCAGGTCATGATCCCAGTGTCCTCGGATCCGATTGGATTGAGTCCCGCATCGTGCTCCCTGCTCAGCGGGGAGTCTGCTTCTTTGCCGCTTCCTTGGCTCATGCGCTCTCTCTTGTGCGCGTGCGCGCTCTCTCTCTCTCTCTCAAATAAATAAAATCTTAAAAAATATATATTTGAAAGCACATCACATAAAAGGTCAAACACAAACCATAAAAATCCAGATTGCCAAGTTCGTGCATTCATGGTGTCTATCTATGGTGAGGATGACTGCAAAGAACTGTCTGGTTGCCTATCTAGACCCCCTCAAGATCCAAGAAATGATGATGATGGTGATTTCTGGTGAATCCACTTCTCTGGGCCTTGGTTTTCCCTGTCCAGGTGTTGTGGGTGGGGCTGGTGCTCCTTGCTGGAAACAGAGTCACTCTGAACATCCCATGCCCAGCCCACTCCTGTTACCCAGTCCAGTTTGCACCCAAGCGACATGTGGCACCTGCCACACACATCGCTATGTGAGGGAGTGCTCTCTCTAGAGGGAAGAATTCACTGGAGTGAACTAATGAAATTCTAAGATTTACAGCCCCAGTACTTTGGGGGAGAAATATGCATAGAAGGAGTTCAAATTTGGGGTTAGGACTAAATGAAGCTTAATGTGGAGCTTAGAAATAAATAGTGGGAAAAATAGGAGAGTACAAAAATAGCCAATAAAAAATGTAAAGTAGTAAGCTTCCTTCTGAAAAAAGGAAATACTTATGTAATCACAATAAAGGGAACATTCTTATCTAGGAAATAAAAAGCGTAGTGGTTACAATTCCTTGATCTATCTGTTTTAAATCTCAAAAGAACAAAAAAAGCCTTCAGAGTGGAAAAAGTGTCATTCTTGGTTGCAGTTATTTGGTGAACATTTTACACAACTTTCCTTTATTGATTTTTGCTGTCATAGGTCAATTTTTCCTCAGCAACAGAGACATGATATGCATTTTCCTTACAAACATTATATGAGTAGATTTATATACATCCATTATGATCAATATTAAAAATTAAACATACAACTTTTTCTCATTTGGTCAAATGCCATGTAAATGTCAGTGTCTACCTCCTAATTCTGCATGAAAACACAGGGATTGTTTGTTGTTGTGGTTCATTTGCAAAAACGTGCTATTTTATATTGTGTTTCACTCAAGTAAAGAAGACATTAAGAAATCATTAGCATAAGTTGGCAGCTATCTATAGTTCTCTGCAAATATATCTTTAAATCTAAGATTTGGCACAGGTCCGTGACCATCTGACAAATGCTTATCTTTCCTTCTAGAACATCCTTTCAACAGTCATGACTCATTAATGAAGCTGTACTTGCACAACACATTCCTGTAGTTACTTGCATAATTATATTTTCTACTGAGCACAAGTCTGGTTTCTTGATTTTTACAGCTACAAACTTCCAAACCTGAAGACTTTTGTTTTTTAGGGTAAATGTGCACACTTTTAGAACATGAAAAATAAGTAAATGTAAATGCAATTGGAAACATTTATGGATTCTTCAAATCCTTTCTATATTTTATAAAGCTTTTGCATAAAAACTAACAGAAGAGGGGCGCATGGGTGGCTCAGTCAGTTAAACATCTGCTTTGGCGCAGGTCATGATCCTGGGGTCCTGGGATCAAGCCCCATATTGGGCTCCCCTGCTCAGTGGGGAGTACCTCTTCCCCAGCTTGTGCTCTCTCACTAGCACTGTCTCCCTCAAATAAGTGAATAAAATCTTAAAAAAAAAAAAACAAAACCTAACAGAAGAAATTCCAGGTAAATATTTGTATGGTGAAAATTTATAAGGAAATTTATAATATAAGCTAATGATCACCAAAGAGGACAGTGCCTAAAAAAATTTTTTCCCCTCACTGCAATTAGCAGTATATTTGTTACAATAATCTCACTTTGTTAAAGCCTTTACTTCATGAGGATGACGGGTTAAAATGATGAAAGTAAGACATATCGCGCTCCCACCGAGAGATGCAGTGAGGAACAGGCTCAAGGGCGGAACAGATCAGTGGCAAAGGGAATGTGTGATTTTGGGGTCACCCCTGCCACTTACTATATGAATGGCCTTGGGCAAGTCACCTGTCCCCAGCTTTAGTTTCCTCACCTGTAAAATGGTAAAGCAGGTCCCTGAGTTCGGAGAGAGGCAGTGTCATCCACGAGGGTAGCTCCTTCAGAAAAAAGGAGAATCAAGTTCCCCCTCAAATGGGAGACTGTATAGAGACGCACTGCTGGAAACTAGGGCCTGGCAAGCTTTTATATACAACTTTTAAAAGGTCAAATTGTAAACCTCCAGTAAAACTGATAAAGAAAATGTATGAAAAGTCATAAAAACTAATATTATACACAAGAAGGGGTCATAAGAGCAGATGAAATAGATCATTCAAAATCATAAGCTAACATGGCAAATAACTTTATGTCCCTGAATCTGAACGCTTAAATGGAAAAATTTTTAGAAATATGTGAACTGACACAAATTAAAACAAAAAACAAAAAACACCTGAAAGCTTGCATTTAACACTAACCAGTAAAGAAACTGAATTGGTAGTTAGTTACATTCATGAAAGACACCAGGCCCAAAAGAAAATAGAGTCTCTACAAAAAAAACTTAGAGCAGACATCATACATAATGGGGAGCCAATAGAAGCATTTTCTTTAATGTCAGGAATAATGAGAACCCCAGTATTACCCTTACTGTTCAACATAGTCATGGATGGCCCAGCTAACTCAGTAAGATAAGACAACAATAAACAACATATGTAAGGAATGGAAAAGAAGAGACAAAACTGTCCTTATTTGCAATCAGAGTTACTGTTTGTATTTAAAATTCAAGAGTGTCTGTGAATAAACCTGAGCCTAAATTTCAAATGGAAATGCTAAGGACCAAAGTAACCAAGAAAAATTAAGAGAACAGAAGGAGAGGACTTGACCTACCAGATTGCAAGACTTTAAAAAAACCTTGTAATGAGGATAATGTGATCTTTGTTCAGGACCAGACGTCTAGAGGTGTGTAGAGTCTGGAAACAGAACCTCAGATATATGACAGACATGCCATTTCAGTGGGGATCTAATGGGACCAGACTGAGACAAAGAAGAAAACTATAAAAAATTAGATCCCAGCTTCCCATAATATATAGAAATAACACCCAGCTGCATGATAGACTAAGTATGCTTTGCCTGGCCTAGGCAAATCCCAGTATCATGCTGTTCCCTGAGAGCTTCATTTCTGAGCCCTGAACACTGTCACTCCGTGTTAAGAATCCCATGTAGGGCACGCTGCAAAATGTTTCCTGAAATGATACAGGACAAGAAGTAAAAAGGTAAGCTGATTGTGCTTAATGCTTTCCTTTACAACTAAAACTAACCACTGGCTTCCTTCCACTCTGAAGAAGTCATTTAAAGTTCCTGATTCAAGGGGCACCTGGGTGGCTTACTCGGTTAAGCGTCTGCCTTCGGCTCAGATCTTGATCTCGGGGCCCTGGGATGGATCGGTCTCCCTGCTCAGCAGGGAGTCTGCTTCTTCCTCTCCCTCTGCCATTCCCCCTGCTCATGCTCTCTCTCTCTCAAATAAATAAAATAAAAGCCTTTAAAAAAAATTAAGTTCCTGATTCATCAGATAAATAAAAAACCCACTTAGAATGTGTTTGAAAAATAAGATACACAGTTCCTCAAAGAACATATGAATGATGATTCATAAAACCCCTGCATAGACACTTTCACCTGTGAACTCAGACAGATGGAGCCATTAAATGCAAAAGAAGATTTAGCTTTTAATATATAATATTTAATGTTAATTAAATATTTGATTATTTTAATTACTTAAATATTTAATTATAAGAGATAAATAATTAAATTATTTAATCAATAATTAATCAATTAATATTTACATGGAAAATAATAGTGTTTTTGAAAAGTTCTGTCTTGGGGAGCTTCTTTCTTTCTCCTCGTTTGTAGCTCTTTTTCCTTATGGTAACACTGGCACATTTCAACTGATTAACAACCACAAAGCACAGGACTATTCAATCCCAGAGACAATTTTAATGCGGTCATTGATCAAGTACAAGCTATAATAAAACCATTTCATTTTAACTGAGCTGATGTTCTAATCTGTATGTTGCTATAAGCACACAGTAAAACATAGTATCAGAAATGCTAATGTCTGCCAGAAAGGAGATAACCATCCAAATTCAACTCTGGCCAAGGAGGCTAATATTCATTTACTATGTTACATACCTTGAGGATTTCAGCAGGTAACTGAAAAAAGGAATTGAATTTTTGGAGTAATTTTGATGGATAGAAAAACTTACAAATAAGGAATTAAGTATTAACTATTTACAATTCACTTCAAAACCTAAACGCTATTTATTTTGCTCATAAAAGTGTTGATCTACATGAGCTCTTACTCTTAAATAAAAGGAATGTCAAACATACTCAAGAATTCCAGATAGAGTGTTATATGTGCCTAGTCGTAATGCAATAACCTACAAGTCTGAAGTATAAGAACAAAGATTATTTGTGAATTTGCCGACAGTTCTTTGCTAGATCCCAACTTGGCCAGTATTTAACCTACACAAAATGTACCGGCATAGAGTATAATGTTTGTGATCCCATCATATAGACTGTAGTGTTTTGAATTGTAAAAAGTGGATTTAGAGAGCAATCACAGGAGTTGTTATTGTCTACATAAGAACTTCTTGCACACTATGGCATTAAATAACAGCACTGCATTACCCGCTAACAGTTGGTGGTAAAGAATGTTGATTTCCCTCCTTCACAGGGTCCCTGAGCGTGTCTAGTTCGGTTCTGGAAAAGTTGCCAGGTTGAAGTTAAATTGTAGGACAATAGAGAAATATAAGCATTTTTGTTAACTGAGTAAAATACTGATTTCAGTCGAATCCTGAATGTTTAATTTTGCATTGGCAAGCCAGGATCTCTCTTTTCCCACCAAAGACCAACTAAATATTTTAAATTGTTGCCTCACGTTAAAGCCAAAGCAAGAGGAATAATTGAAATATCCTTTGGGAGCTGAGAGGCTCAAATTCTTAGTCTGGGGTAAATGCCTTAAATTACCTCTGAAACCAAATGATGACAGAATGCAATTCTTGGCAAAACATGGAGATGCTTCAACAAAATAGCCTTAAAATGATAGAAAATATTACAAAGAAAATCCCTAAACAGAAAGAAAGAAAGAAAGAAAGAAAGAAAGAAAGAAAGAAAGAAAGAAAGAAAGAAAGAAAGAAAGAAAAAGAGAAGAACTTCTCCACTGCTTCACACATTGAAAATATTAGTGGGGAAAATTCTGGAAGAATTTTTCCTCCAGTACTGACTGCATTTTTTATATCTACTAATATCTACTTAATCTACTTTTATATCTACTAATATCTACTTAAAGGATCTTTTAAAATCTTAAAATCCTTCAAAATCTCCAGTACCTATATTTCTCTTAGAAACTAGTGTTTGATTTTGGGGAGCCTGGGTGGCTCAGTTAAGCATCCAACTCTTGATTTAGGCTCAGGTCATGATCTCAAGGTCATGGGATTGAGCCCTACACCGGGCCCAGGATGGAGCCTGCTTAAGATTCTCTGTCTCCCTCTCCCTCTGCCCCTTCACCTACCCTCAAGAAAAGAAGAAAGAAAGAAAGAAAGAAAGAAAGAAAGAAAGAAAGAAAGAAAGAAAGAAAGAAAGAAAGAAAGAAAGAAAGAAAGAAAGAAAGAAAGAAAGAAAGAAAGAAAGAAAGAAAGAAAGAAAGAAGAAAGAAAGAGAAAAGAAAGAAAGAAAGAAAGGAAAGAAAGAAAGAAAGAAAGAAAGAAAGAAAGAAAGAAAGAAAGAAAGAAAGAAAGAGAAAGAAAACTACTGTTTGATTTCTACCTGGCCACTAACAGAGAGGCTCTGAATGAGAGCTGAATGAGTGGCATGGTGAAAATAGGTATCAGTTGCTCAGTCACACAGAATATCACAGTAATAAAAAACACTAAGATGAAGAAAGAACACTATCTCATTTCTTATCTTTGTAGAGTTCAGTCGTATCACTTACTTGTGCTATGTCTCTGTGGAGTCTCTAGTATCTTCTATGCTCTCATCAGTGACTGCATCTTGGGTTTATATGATGAGTAAGGGACAATCACAAGCCAATGAGAGACGGAGCAACTTACTTCCCCCTAAGTCTCTTCCTTCATTTCTTAGATGAGATATGCCTGCCAAACAGTCCAATCCTGCAAAGACTTCTGGTTCTTCTTGGCATTTTATAGGATCTCTGTGTGTAAATAATAACCTAACATATTTGCATTCCGTTGATAAAATCAAAGTTATAGATGCTGATGTGTGCCTATTGCTACATGCTCATCTATGTTTAAAAACCTTACACCATAGGCTCCCGGAGAATGAGAGAAAGTGAGCACAAGTAAGCCTTCTTTTCAGATATGCACGGGGCTGGCTTCTGCAATTCACTAGGTCTCCTTAGGGAACGCTTGGCTGACCACGTCTTCACCGGGACCCTCCTCCAACAGTCTCATCCCTCACCTGCTGTGTGTTTCTTCGTTACCATGTCTAACAACATAGTGTATTTTCTTGGTTTGTTTTCACCCTCCCCCAGCAGAATGTGAGCTTCGTAAGAGCAGGCCTTTCAGAAAAGAAAAGAAAAGAAAAGAAAAGAAAAGAAAAGAAAAGAAAAGAAAAGAAAAGAAAAGAAAGAAAGAAACAGGAAAGAAAGAAAGAAAGAAAGAAAGAAAGAAAGAAAGAAAGGAGGGAGGGAGGGAGGGAGGGAGGGAGGGAAAGAAAGAAAGAAAGAAAGAAAGAAAGAAAGAAAGAAAGAAAGAAAGAAAGAAAGAAAGAAAGAAAGAAAGAAAGAAAGAAAGAAAGAAAGAGAAACTGTGATGCCCTTGTTATGGGAAGGAATGCCTGGCACATCACAGCCACTAGTATATCTTTGCTGAATGAATGATTCCAAATATTATATTGTCCCACAAATCACATTTTTATGAGGACTCCTTAAGTTCTCATTGCTGCTAGCATATTTCCTTTACACTCCTTTTCTCCGAAGAGCCATATTGTTTAAATATTTAGTGAGTACCTAATCTTTGCCGGGTACTATTCTGGATAATAGAGGTAAAGCAGTAAACAAAAACAAGAAAAAAAAAATCCTTGCCCTCATGGAGCATTCTTTTTTTTTTTTTTTAAGATTTTATTTATTTATTTGAGATAGAGACAGAGACAGAAATAGCGAGAGAGAGCACAGGTGGGGAGGAGAGGGAGGAAGCAGGCTCCGCACTGAACAGGGAGCCCCACGCTGGCCCCATGCCAGCACCCCGAGATCATGATCCTAGCCCAAGGCAGAAGCCCAACCACTGAGCCACCCAGGCGCCCCGCCTCATGGAGCGTTCTTAACAATATTAGTAACAACAACCTTAGGAGGTTTTGAGAGCATTAAATGGGTACGTAAATGTGTGCTGAAAAAGACGTGTGCATCACCTCCACGCTTACACGGAGGTGATGAGTGTTTTTCTGGCCTCCAAGATACAATTTTGCTATAGGAGAACTTTGGTTCTTCATGAACCTGAGCTATATGGAGAGAAAATAGCAGCCGTTTCCAAAATGCTGGAACCTAATCCATGAAGGCTGGGAATGGTACGTTTTCTGGCACTGTGGACATTTTGTTGAGGTAGCAGTTTCAATAGCTCATGGGAAGCTCCGGGCCTCAATTCCGAATGAACCACCTTAGGCTGGGGAAAAGATCCAGAATTATCAGTGTCAGTCTGGGGTTTGGAGGAATTTATATAAATTGTTAACTTGTCGTCTGTGGACACCAACTGAAAGAAGATGTGTAAATGTGATTCTGAAAGGAATTGCCTCCTAAATATTAACACAGTCCCTGTGGCTTATGTAACAAATGTAAGATGCTTTGGTGCTGTGATCACAGCATCTTTGTATAATTGCTGGCTAGGGTGTTTTGGCCATTTGGCTGTTCCCTTCCTTCCTCAAAATCCTTGTGATTTCCTCTCAAAGTGCTATGTTCTTTCAAAGAGAGCAACCTGCCTCAATTAAATACTTCTGTTAAATCAAGAAGTGAAAAATATACACGTAAAGGAGTAATTAACATGACATTATCACTCAATTCACACTCATTTACCCGACATGGAATGAACACTGGTCCCAGCACTCTAAGACGTCTCCTATAGAGATGTGTTCTTACAATGTGTGCTTTTTGGTGTCTAGTGAGAATACTTGAAAAGAAAAAACCAAGTAAGACATTTTTCAGGTTTCCACCACTATCGAAGATTAAAGATGCTTCGATAGACAGGCACAGGTATTCCCTTTTCCAAGCAGATCTATCCCTTTATTGATTATGCTTTTTGTTAAAATGATCCAGTTCTGTATAATTTGATTCAACACCCGAAAGAAGATTTGCTAATGTTTGGCAAATGTATTTCTTGTTTGCCAAATGCATATTCTAATAAATTTATATTTTGTATTTTTTTGATTCATGAAATATTGAGTAACCTAATTAAATTTCCAAAATAAGCCAGACTAAGGAGCAGATGTTAACAGAGACTTACTCACGGCAGACATTTTGTTAGGCCCAGTTTGGAAAGACAGGCTTTCTTTTCTGCAAGTAAATAGAAATTCATATGAAATTGTATGTTATATTGACTTAAACTTCATGTTAAAATGCTACTATGTTTTTGTAAATATTGAAAAACAAATCTTGGGGGGCGCCTGGCTGGCTCAGTCAGTTAAGTGTTTGCCTTTGGCTCAGGTCTGATCTCAGGGTCCTGGGATCCAGCCCTATATTGGGCTCCGTGTTCAGCGGGGAGTCTGCTTCTCCCTCTCACTCTGCCCCCTCCCATGCTCCCTCTCTCTCTCTCCCAAATAAATAAATAAGTTCTTAAAAAAAAATCGAATCTTTGCCTTTTATTTTATTTCTTTGGATGTAGTGGTAGTTATATATCAACTGTGAATTTCTACTTGTTTCCTGTTTTAAGACAGCTGAGGAGAGATAAGTATGTTCTGGAATACAGCAAAGTCTCTTCAGCTACATAGCTCAAGCAAAAAGCTGTTCTGACAAATATTAACCACCCAGATTAAGTTGCTGTTCGTGGCTCACATTTTCAGTTTTAGCAAATGCAAAATATTCTTTTCAAAAAAATCAAAGGCATCTTTTATCAATGTCAAAGACATCTTCTAACACACTTTGAATTTCCAAAAGTGAAGTTTGAACTTAAGCCAGTTGAGTGTTTAGTTTTAGTTCTCATTCTTTGGATCCTGTTTATTAAACCTTGTTTACAAATTCAAAGAGTAAGGATAGCAAAATTCCTGAAAAAAATGTGTTTTAAAAAAAAAGTATTCAATCTTCTTCCTGTATTATCTTCAGAGTTAGATGATGGAAGTGCCTCAAATTAAATGTATGGCTTGATCTCCAGAAACTGAAAAGTTGCAATTCTTATACGTCCTTTACCTGAGTTTTAAAAATTACTTTCTCTTTTTTATTATTCACATCTTAGTTTTAAATCCTATTGTTTAAATTTCCCAACTTGTTGTTTCCAAAGCAGCTGGTTAAGCGTGTGTCAACACACGGAAAGGAGAGGAAAAGTACATAAAAGGTATAATCAGAAAGGACAAAGAGAAAGGAGAGAAGTAAAGAGTGTAAGACGCATTGCAAAGAACATTTTGGCAGACAGGAAGCAAATGGAGGAGTGACACTTGATCAAACCCATGGAGTCAAAATTATGACCCAAGTTTCTCTAATGGTGGAGAGGAGGACATACACTAAGGAGACGCTATCTCGATAACCCTGAGGAACCCAGAAGACCAGAGCTCCAAGACCTATAAAAGTGGACTTGAGATTCAGGACTGAAAACCAGGGGATTATCTAAAAGTTAGCAGAGAAAGCGTTAGACTCCTGGTGGCCCTACCTCTTCTCAACCCCCGGCCCTCAGTCTTATTTTTTTTTTTAAAGATTTTATTTATTTATTTGAGAGAGCACGCACAAGCAGGGGGAGCGGCAGGCAGAGGGAGAAGCATGCTCCCAGCTGAGCAGGGAGCCCGATGTGGGACTTGATCCCAGGACCCTGGGATCATGACCTGAGCCGAAAGCAGACGCTTAACTGACTGAGCCACCCAGGCATCCCTTACCCCTCAGTCTTAAAAAGAAAAGGAGCAGGGAGAATCTTGGGGAAACAGAGACCATGTAGGGTGTGGGATATAAAATCGAGTATTTTATTTATTGAATAATTTTCTTACAGATATGTAGTTTTGGAAAATAATTTCCATAAAAATTTAAGTGAAGTGAGAAAATTGCATTCAGTTCAAATATTTGGTATGCTTATTTCATGATAATGATAGTTGTGGAGCTGTTTAATGCACACGGCATGTCTATAATGCAGATATAGTTAGACCTGCTGTACAGATGAGAAAATTATGGTGTAGACTGATTCAGCAAGTTTACCCAAGGTCATACAGCTATTAGGTTTCAATGCTAGTGCTCAAACTCAGTTCTGTTGATTACAAGCCTATACTTTTACAACTACTCCAAAATGCTTCACAAAGTTTTGGTTTATAACCACTTGGCACAGAGGGAAGAGCCTTCAGAATAAGGAAAGAAGTGTCATGGAATGTTCCCTACAATCTTAGAACTTCTCTAATTACTTCATTGTTTAACCAGACTAATCAGCTTGAAATCCAAAGGCCAGTATAAATCCTTTCAAATATTATTTTGTTCCTAAAGCTGAAAATACACAAAATTAAATTTAGAAATACACGTTAAACTGAACAATATGAGTCAATCTTACCAAGTGCTTCTTAATCTTTTTTTCCGTTAGGCATTTCCTCTGAGACTATCTCTGTGCCTAATGTGTCCTGGACTCGTTGTCCCCTAATCAAAGCTGTGTTCTGGCTAATGGTTGGGACCAAAGTACTTAATATGATGTCTATCCATTTACATATTAGCTTAATATATTTTTTAATTTTTTTACCAACTTTTTGTTCTTTGTCGGATCGTCCAAATAGCAGTTTGCATGTTCACCTAGTGATTTGAGATTCCTGTTTCCTCTATGTGAACAGGTGGGCAGAGCCATCCCTCAGGAGAGTTGAGCTGAGATGTGGGGTGGAGAATTGGGTAGGAAGGGTGGGAACATGGGTTTGTGGAAAGATCTGGAGGGAAGATCTTACATTTTGTCTTTTGTCTACTTGCCATGTGCAGCAATTTTTAGCTGGTTAAATAAAATGAAAAGTATAGCAAAAGTAACAGTAAAGAGGGGGAAAAAATCTTCACATCAAAAGGCTTTGTGAAGATAATATGCAAATAGAATAGGGGCAGTGCCACTCTGTGTAACTCAGGTGATGTTAAGGAGGGAGGTGAAGTCCCTGAATGGGTT